TGCTAAAGTCGCAGGGTGAGGTATGGGCAACTGAGTCGAAGTTCAAGGCACGTCTTGCGGTGATATTCTCCGGTCTTAGCATGTTTGTTGGAGTGAGGTCATCTCTCGGTGTGGTTTCGTCAGCGACTATCGGAGGATCTTCCGTTATGCCTGCCGTGGATGTAGTTGAGTATTCCCACAAACGGCGCCAATTGTGGGGATGTGGTTTGGAAATACTCTTTGGATCCAATGGGACACTCGAGATCCTCATCTAATAACCTGAAAAGGAATGAACAATCCAGTCGGGGGTGCCGGAATGAGCATTCCGACGGATAAATCAGTATATACTCTCTTGATTACTTGTATCTTAAGTAAAGTCTAATAATTCTCACATACCTCTTTTTTGGCTATTGTTTCATTATTTATACTCGCTCCCAGGGCCTCAGGGTCTAACCCACTTTAACATCCACCTTGTGGATGATTATTCGGCTTCTTGCTTAACTAGTTCTTTGGCCAATTCGTATATTTGGCTTCTGGATAAGGCAGGATGGGGCCGAATAAGATGTTCGTATAGCAAGCTTCCAAGTATCTCTCGGCCCCCCCTCTGCAATCGCAAATCTTCGGCTCCCACATTATAAAAAAAAAAAAAAACACTATGCTCAAAAAAATATAAATATTTATTTTCTTTTCGTCCCTAGTCACTCAATCCAAATGGACTGTAAAAGTGAGAGCTTGAGGATTAAAGTTTCACAATTTTTTTCCCCAAATTGAGGGACACGCCGCCCTTTTCATGGCACCGAGTTCTTTTCATTATGTTTGGTTTTATTTTTTGAATTTAATTTTTTTACATTAAATATTTTAACTTTTTAATTTTTTTATTTTTAGTGAATATTTTTAAAATTTTAAGTAATTTTTTTTACTTTTTTAGATGCACTTTACTTAAATGTATTTAAAAAGTAAAATATTTGTAAAAAAAATATTTAAAAAAATCAATAAAAACATAAAAATACAAAAAAAAAATGTACTGAATTCTAATATTTTTTTTTGTATCTTTGGTATTTAGTCAAATTTCTAAAGATTTTTTTCACAAATATTATACTTTTAAAGTGTTTTTGTGTTAGGTGTATCTAAAAATTAAAAAAAAAAAACTTGCTTAGAATATTAAAAAAATTCAATAAAAACAAAAAAATATATTAAAAAAAAATTTAGTAATTTTTAAAAAAATAAATCTTAAAAATCCAAACCAAACAAGCTGTTTGACTTTTCCTTCCCTTATCTCCCTCTTGGAGCATCTCTAATGGTGCATCAATTTTTTCAACAAATTTGAGTAATAGCTTCCTTTGATATCAAGTGCTTTAACGAAGGATTTTGGAGCTTTGTCAGAACACTGGTCAACTAGGCGGACGACCAGACGAATGTTCGGCTAGTCGACCGGCCAGTGTAAATTTTTCTATTTTTTTTACCTTGAGGTGGTCGACCGAGCAGTGCAATTTTTTCACAAATTTTTGCTTTGTGGTGGTCATCCGAGAGGACATCTGGGGAGACATTCGACAACGACAATGAACAATAATTTGATGAAAGGTACATTGGTTCTTAGTTTGATGAAAGATAAGTAAAATCCTCAATTTAATATCTATTTGATGCAATCATTGAAGCAGGAAAATTATTCATTTTTCATCAAATTCAAATTTAATGAAAATTTTAAGTAACTATTGGAGATGATCTTATACATCAAAAGGCTACCTTACACGCACTTAAAAAACATATTGGAGGTTGATTCATGCCAAAATTTTAAGTAAAAATTAGAAAGTTAAAAAATATTAATATTATAATATAAGTGTTACTTAATTAACAAGGTAAATTACACTTACACCCCTGAGATTTGAGTTTAATATATATCACCCCCTGACGTTTGGGAAATTATATTAACCCCCCTGTCATTTTAATTATTTAGACGAAATGAAGACATTGAACTCATGCATTCTCTCTTTTTTTGTTTTGCTTTACTCTCTCTTTTTTTTTCCTTTTCCTTTACTTTAAAAAAAAAATTATAATTTCTTCTGTTTTTTTACTAGGAGTTGTTACCTTTTATATAAGTAGGGGGGTTTGTGAAATTAAACTATTAACCACAGGGGTGGGAATGTAATTTTCAAAACGTTAGGGAATGGGTAGTAATTGGACCAAACCTCAAGAGGTGTCAATGTAATTTACCCAAATTAATAAGAGTAATTTTTACCGGACCTTGTGTTCGGGTTCAAGTCTCATCCATTTTTCTATATAATATTTTGTTTCAAATAAAGAAAAAAAAATGACCCGTAATATAAAGATAAGTAAAGATTTAAGACACTAAGGCCTCGTTTGGGAACATATTTTTTTAGTTTTTTTAGCTAAAATATGATGTAAAAAAAAAACTAGTATGCTTGAGATGACTTTTTTGATTTTTTTATGAAAAGATGTGCAAAAAATAGAAAGAAAATGAAATCTTTAACTTTTTTATATAGGTTGCTGACTTTTTATTTTTTTAGTAACTTTTTGACTTTTAAACTAAAAAGTAATGTTGCCAAAGAAAGTCGAAATACTACTTTACTAGATGTATATGTTATGCACTTTGTATAAAAATATAATTTTTATCAAAATGTATAAATTGTGTTATATATAATTTTAGGAATGTATATTACAATTTCACCATTTATAACTTCCACTATTCACAACTTTTAAAATTTTGTAAACATTTTAAGTAAAAATTCAATATAATAAATAGTATTATGACACTCTTTGGTAAGTGAATTTTTGACTTTTTTTGGCCAAAATTCAAAATAGATTAAAATAGTCAATAAAGCAAAATGTCATATTAAATTCATAATCATTTCATTTTTTCTCTTACAAATATGACATCTAACTACAAAAAAATTCAACTATCTTTCCAAATATAAAAATTTTAACCTACTAAAATAGTCAACTTTCCAAATAAGACTTGTGTTATTGCTGATGCATGGTGTTATTACCTAATAATAATACTACACGTGAAAAAATAAATCTCACTACTCAAATATAATTGAAAAAAGATTGGGAGTTCTAAATTAAGAGTTCTAATAGTTCTAATTGATGTGTGGGTCCCTTATGATGTAATGTTTTGGCCTTGATTTCTTTTTTTCTTTTTTCTTTTTGATTTTCTAATTGGTGTTGTGGATCTGGAGTTGCTTATGGATAATTCACTAGTATGTAAAGGTCACTTTGTGCTGCTGGGGAGTGCTCCACATTATTCTTGAGTGACTACTTCAGAGAAACTTCAACGTCTGTCACGTTAGAGACAAAACAGAATGTAACGAAATAGAACAGCCAATTAGCATAAAGTAAGAAGGAAAAGAATTGAGAAAAAAAGAAGAAGCAAGAACAAATGAAATCGTAGAAAACAATAAATCATGCTGTTGCAGACTGTTAGGTTTTTATTATTAGCAATCCCGTTTGACAAAACTCTTTTCAGTTGTAATTTTATTCGATTTTTTATTTCAGTGAGGCTATGAGTTTTAGATGCGAATCCAACCCGAATTGTGCCTTACAGAGATGTTTCAGAAATTAATTCTTTCATGTTTGCCACTTCGCTGACTATGTTGGAAATTGAGTTGCCCGGTCAGCTCGTGGGGGTCCAGGGGACAGCGCCCCTTGGTGGGTTCGGGGTAGCACCCAAGCGAGGTCGAGAGGCAACGCCCCCGAAGCAAAATGCAAAAATGCATTCGAAGTTGCTTGTTCGCTCGAGCGGCCGTTTGTGCGCTCAAGCGGAGAATCTTTGGTTTCAGAAGTTTCACTCGCTTGCAAAAGTACTGAGAGTTGGGATTTTACGCTTGAGTGAACTTTCTTGCGCTCGAGCGAGGTCCGCTTGAGCGGCTATTCCTGTGCTCGAGCGGAGATCGCGGCCCTGTTTGCTATAAATATGTGTTTCAGTCATATTTTTGGATACGGCTTCCAGATCTTCTTCTTGGATATTAGGGTTTATATCTAGAGCTTCTTTGCTAGTTTCTTTGATGTTTGTTTGAGTTTACCTCATGGTTTAAGAAGTGTACATCGAAGGATTATTTGTTTCATTCAATACAAAAGGGAGAGTTGTTCTTCGGTGGATTCCGTGGAATTCGAGCCTGAAGCTTTGGTGGATTTCGAAGTGGCTCATCATCGTGATTCAACATCAGCATTATGGAATCAACGTTTGGGCAAGACAATTTCGAGGTGAATACGGGGTTGGAAGAGGCACATATGGGTCGGTTCGATTCCGGCGTGGATTCGCTAGGTAATTAAGAGTACACTTGTGTAATTCATTTATGTCTTCTTAATGGATTGTTTTGTGGCTTTTGCCCGTGGTTTTGTTTTTTTTTTTTATCACAATAGGAGGCGCTCCAGTTATGACTTTTCTACGTTAAATCGTTGTGTCGATTTGTCTTTAATTGTTTGATTGAGATTGCTATTTACTATTTAAAATTGATACATAGTCACAAATCAATATCTTGGGAATTTCTAGTTTTTTCAGGACAATTCCGAGGTGAAGATAGGGTTAGAAGAGGCACACATGGGCCAGTTCGATTGGGGTGTGGATTCGCTAGGTAATTGAGAGTATACTTGTGTAATTCCTTTATATCTTCTTAGTGGATTGTTTTGTGGCTTTTGCTCGTGATTTTTTTTATTACAATTGGAGATGCTCCAATTGTGATTTTTTCACGTTAAAACGTTGTGTCGATTTGTCTTTGATTGTTTGATTGGAATTGCTATTTACTGTTTAAAATTGATACATAGTTACAAATCAATATTTAGGGAATTTTTAGTTTTTTCATTTGGTATCAACCAACAACGAAAAGAACAAGAAACATAAGCTATTTGTTTAGGTCCTTGAACCATTTTGAGTGAACTTATTTTTCTTTGGCTAGTAAGTAAATAAATCGGGAGTAAATTTTGTATGGTTAATCCCTAAAATTCTATTTTTGCAAATCCCATTCAGAAGGTAGTGCATGACCCCCCCCCCCTTTTTTTTTGGCAATTAAACATTCACACACAACTCTCCAAAAATGAAATTACAAAGTTATTCTTTAAATAAAAGTTCTTTTTTAATCTAAATTTGGAAATTTCTAAAAATATTAAAATTTGCACATGAAACACTTGCATTTGTTCTCCTTCTGACTAAATAATTATATTAGTCAAATCAAAAGTATCACTTACCTTTTATAACTTCTTTGCAGGACATAATGACAGCGGAAGCTCAGTGGTGATCCGTAGATTTATTCATTTTAAAATATTCATTCGACTTTCAAGAATGATATTAATCTGTTGTTCTCTTGACCATTTTAAACTGTAACTATTCCTTCTCATCCAAATTAAGTATATACATAGATTTAATATTATAAAGTGTTGTTGGTTCATACAGTTTGGCAAATTGTCTTTTTATTATGCCACTAATTAGCTGCACTTACAAGGCTCTTGCCAAAAACACCCTGGTGAGTAGACAAATAAACCAAGCATCAAGTAGATAAACACACCAATAAGCAAGCTCACAGCTGAATTTCTTTAGAACATCCATAATCAACATCTTGGTTCATCAAACCTTGTTCCCTCTAAAAAGATGATTTATGCATATGCTGTTTCAGTGCCACCTTAGCAGCTCTATATTGTTCGAGAACCACATATCTGCCATAAAAAAGAAATTTTTAATTAGCGAAGTTAAAATCCCTCATCTTGTTGGACAATAAAGGTTTGTAGGAAAGACCAAAGACGATGTGAAACAAAAGTAAGAGGATGTCAACTTTGGGTACAAATCAATTGAGAGTGTTGTTTGGGCCAGAAAATCCCTATTCATAAGTCAGAGATAAAAATCCTTTGCACAGTAATATGATTATACGAGTATATTTCAAATTGCCAAATTGTCATGCAAATGAAATGTACCCTTGTTCACTAGCAAACAATTTCCTTTAGTCATCAATACGCCTTAATTAGTTGAAGAATTTATATTAGAAAGACCAACTAACCTCACATTGCCTACAACAGAAAATATTATTATCATGTAAGATTGATGATCCACCATTTAACCAATAGAAAAATGCATTGCCATGGTCCAACCATCCACAAGCTAATTCAAAATACAAATTAGCATCTGCTAGCTTCAGCTGGTTAGAACTCTAGCTACATTAAGAGTAACACATTGTCCAGTAATCTTAATTGTTCATATCAGCAATGAAACTGACATAGAACCCAACAGAGTTATACTAAAAACAAGGCTTTTTAATAAGTTAAATAGCACACAAAGCAGTAAAGTCAATGGCAATAAGCCTCTAAACAAGCAAGCTGAAGTCCCTAGCTATTGGCATATCAGCATATAGTAACTGAATTTGAACTGGAATATTTTGTTCATCATATTAGTATAAGTTGAAGGATCTACCATTTTTTTTGTTGTTGATAAGTTCAAGGATCTGCCATTGACAGTGTTTCATTTATCAATATCCTGCAACTACAAATTTGAATTCATGTATATAATAAGTGGATAATGTATAGATAAAATCACTCACATGCTAGAGATGATTAGGATGCGAGAACTATGTGAGTAGATATTACAGCTTCACCGCCTCCAACAGCAACATGCAAGTATTCTATGGAGAAAGTCAAATTATGTGGGTTTATTGAAATATGAAGTCATTTATATTGAGCAAATGTTAAAGGATGTAAAATGTCACAGAAGAATTAATAGGAGTCACTGAGAATGATCAATACCTTTGAAGTAGCTTGGTACTTCATATTATTTGCTTACGCCAGTCAATCAAGTATAATTATCCAGTGAAGTTGGTTGTCCTATTCCAGCAATAGCACCGAAGATCATCCCAACCGGCCAAGTGATCATCACTTATCAGGCTTTTGAAGTTACTTTAGACGTTATCAATGCGAGATATATATACAATGTCATGCAAAAATCCAGATTAGAAGCAATGATGGTACTCATGAATGTTTCATACAGCTTAAAGCACATTTTGTAGAGAAGATAATAAATAAACCAGACGACGTGGAAGCAAGTTTGCTGCAAGGTAGAATTTCTCGCGTATCACATATTCTTGAAAAAACTCACTGATACGAGCATGTGATTTTGTCTCATGGCAAGTTAGTTAAGTGCTCAAATTAATTGAAACAATTAGTTATGACGAATGCTTTACTGTATGAAGACTTAGAGGAAATTTTTTTTGACGGATGTTCCACTTGGCTTTGAGGATTTCTCAGTTGATGGGAGTGTGCAAGCTCAAAAAGGCATTATATGAGTCACAAAGTCTGAATTATAATGAGGTATAACCAAACAACTCTTGAATTATAATGAGGTATAACCAAACAACTCTTGAATTATAACCAAAATTGTCATAACTAACATCACAATGTGTCATAACTAACAATATAATATGTTATAACCATTGACTCAAAGATCGTAACCAAATATACATATACCATAGAATTTCCCAAATTATAAACACATTTTTTTTTTGTGTGTTCGTTTAAAATATAAAGAAAAATTTACTTGCACCATGTCCAATAGTTACTCAAATCTGTCATCAAATTTGAATTTGATGAAAAATGACTCCTTTTCTTGCTCCAGCAGTTTCATTAAATAGGTATCAAATCCAGGATTTCACTTTTCTTTCATCAAACTGAGGACAAATGTGTCTTTCATCAAATCACTATTCATAGCCATTTGATTTTCACTACCAGATGTCCCCTGGATGACCACTTCAAAGAAAAAATTTATAAAAAAATTACACTAATTGATCGTCCGCTTGGTCAATCCCCCGGATGACCACCTCAAGACAAAAATTTGTGAAAAATTTACATTGGCCAGTTGACCGACCGAACATCAGCCCGGTCATCCGCCAGGTTGACCGGTGTTCTGATGAAGTTTCAAAAACCTCCGTTGGAGCACTTGATATCAAATGAAACTTTTACTCAAATTTGATGAAAATTTTGATACACCGTTGGAGATACTCTTATATATCCTATCTTATCTTGAGAAATGATGATCCGTTTAGTCTTAAATTTTTTTTTATAGACCAATTAGTCTCATTGATTTTGGAAACGTATATTTAATATATTATTTAGAAATTGAATTTATGGTTATACCCTTATTTCTATTATGTGGTTTTTTTTTTTTTTTTGTGTGTGTGTGCATGCGCGCGCGCGCGCACGCTAGAAAGGCAAGATACACAATCTATAAGAATCAAATTTGAGTTTAATTATTATGAGAATATTTTTTATTTGGAAAATATTTACAAATGAGTACAAAAATGACTTGAAATGTAGGATTCTTCAAACATTTCGAAAGAAGTACAAAAACTCCCTAGTAAGTTTTGGGTAAATGTATAATTTCAAACTGTAACACTCCAATGTAACACTCAAACGTAACACTCTGATGTAACACTTCAAAAAAAAATTTAGAGTACTGTGGGGATGTATTTTCTGAATACCAACACGTGGCATGGTGACGCCGACGTGTCAGCCGAGGTACCACGTGTCCTGGTAGTTAAGTCGAGATAATCTCGGAGAAGCCGAGGTTATCTCCGAAGACATCGGAATCCGAGATAAGGGACAAGAGTCCTAAGATGGAGAGGGGACTTAACCAAGATAAGGATAAAGCTCTTAGGGAGTTTATCTTTATCTCTTAAAGAATCCAAAGTAAACATTGATATGAAGTTCATAGAAGTCATACTTCTATTGGGACTTGGATTGAGTATATTATAAAAGAGAGGCACCCCCATGGGTCTAAGGTATGCAATTTATGTTTTGAATATTCAGTTTAGCACTTGATTTATCTTTGAGAGATATACTGACTTGATCGTCGGAGTGCCCCCGGGTGGAAGAACCACCGCCGGAGCTTTTTCTTTCTGTTACAGGTTGCTAAAGCCATCTATTCTGCCTGTGCTCTCCAGCTGATCGCTAAACGGGCAGTGTGGTCAGATTTTCACCCACACAAGTACTTTTGCCAAACATAACACTCCAATGTAACACTTCAAAAAAATGATGTAGAATTCTTCAAACCATTCCAAAAAGATGTAGGATTTTTCAAACCATTCTAAAAGGAGTACAAAAATTTCTTAGTAAATTTTGGGTAAATATATAATTTCAAAAGGTGAGTGTTACGTTTGGAAAAAATATATTAAGGAGTTTTAGTGTTTTTGTATGTATTACATTGAAGTGTGTTACATTGGAATATTATGTTTGGAAAAAGTACACTAAGGAATTTTTTTGAATGTTACGTTGTTACGTTTAAAAAAAGGTATAGTAAGGAGTTTTTGGAGTGTTACGTTGTTAGTTTGAGAAAAGTACACTAATGAGTTTTTTAGTATATTACATTGGAATGTTACATTATTAGAGTGTTACGTTTTTATTCGTAATGTGGAATTTGTTCCAGAATGAGGGAAAATCTAAAATCTCTATAGTGTGGATTGTCCAAATATGTAATTTCACATTTAGAGAATCCCACTTTTATCCCTCAAAAATTAAACCCAAACGTGTAAGTGACTACATTTTTTATGTAATTCCACTTTAATGGGACATTTAGGTTCATAAGAAGAAAAAAAAGGATTAAACAGTTCATAATATCACATTTTGGGATTTATTAACGCTTCACCCAAATATAAATTACCTCCGTAGCTTAAAAATTATAAATATCCCATTATCAGAATTTTTTATTTAATAGAATTAATAGAAAAAATAAAATTACTAACTATTCTCCTATTATGCAATAATAAAATTATCAAATTTTTAATTAAAATATATTTCTGATATCATTACAAATTATTAATTGACTTAATGATTTATTAAAACTTAAAAGAGATCATTTGTTATGCAATTATAAATTTGAAGGGGCGAAATGTAATTTTCAAAATCACAAGAGATAATTCATATTTTAAGCAAATCTCAAGAGCATATTTGTAATTTATCCCAAAAGTAAATTCTTTTTATTTTTTGAAAATATATTTTCTAATTGTCGAGTAGAACCGACCAAAAAAAAAAAAGTTGCACAAAAAAAAATTACACTCCCACAGCACTAAATTGCATTAATAATATTGCTTTTGGGATGAAATGCACATTTTCACGTGAACAGTCAATGTGATCTCTTAGTTTCCACAATTAATCATATAGTAAATTGAAAAGCAAAAGTAAGCCAACGAAATTCAGACGCCAGATCCTCAACATTTTGCACATGGGAGTTCCTACTGTGTCCAACAAAGCAATCCAATCATATGCTAGCCCTTACAACTTCACTATCAATGAGCATAACCACAAAGTAGAACTATACAAGGAGACAGCATAAACAGACCAGTTGGTCCACGTAAGGACTGCTGTGTAGGGTGTAGGGAATTAAATAGCAATGCAGAATGCTGTGGCAGCAAAGAAGATAGCAAGTCACTCTAAGGCTTGGGCTGTGATGTGAAACTCACTACAAAGAGGGAGGCAAAGGCTAGTGAGATTGCAAAAAAAAAAAAAAAAAAAGGAGGAAATTAGACTTAAGAGTCAGGTTCGAATAAATTGGATGACTATTTTGACAGATGAGGTTAAGCAAAATGTGATTATTAGCTTCGGCCAATCGAGATGATGTTGAGCAACAACCAAAGAAATTGGTTGGCACTGCTGCTCCATCACTGCAGTCTTAAGGTTTACGCGGCAGAAGGTGTGGTGGGAAAGCTACAAAAGAATATTTGAGACAGAGCAGCCAAAGAAAAAAAAGAAGAGAGTAGAAAAATTACCTGGTGCTTCCGGGACTCCTAGATAGTGTTGTGGATCTGGAGTTGCTTATGGATAGTTCACAAGTATGTAAAGGTCACTTGTGCTACTGGGGAGTGCTCCACATTATTCTTGAGTGACTACTTCAGACAAACTTCAACGTCTGTCACGTTAGAGACAAAACAGAATGTAACGAAACAGGACAGCTAATTAGCATAAAGTAAGAAGGAAAAGAATTGAGCAAAAAAAAGAAGCAAGAATAAATGAAATCGTAGAAAACAATAAATCATGCAGTTGCAAACCAACAACGAAAAGAACAAGAAACAGAAGTTATTTGTTTAGGTCCTTAAACCATTTTGACTGAACTTATTCTTCTTTGGCTAGTAAGAAAATAAATCGGGAGTAAATTTTGTATGGTTAATCCCTAAAATTCTATTTTTGCAAATCCCATTCAGAAGGCAGTGCATGACCCTTTTTTTTTTTTTGGCAATTAAACATTCACACACAACTCTCCAAAAATGAAATTACAAAGTTATTCTTTAAATGAAAGTTCTTTTTTAATCTAAATTTGGAAATTTCTAAAAATATTAAAATTTGCACATGAAACACTTGCATTTGTTCTCCTTTTGGCTAAATAATTATATTAGTCAAATCACAAGTATCATTTACCTTTTATAACTTCTTTGCAGGACACAATGACAGTGAAAGCTCAGTGGTGATCCGTAGTTTTATTCATTTTAAAATATTCATTCGACTTTCAAGAATGATATTAATCTGTTGTTCTCTTGACCATTTTAAACTGTAACTATTCCTTCTCATCCAAATTAAGTATATACATAGATTTAATATTATAAAGAGTTGTTGGTTCATACAGTTTGGCAAATGGTCTTTCATTATGCCACTAATTAGCTGCACTTACAAGGCTCTTGTCAAAAACACCCTGGTGAGTAGATAAATAAACCAAGCATCAAGTAGATAAACACACCAATAAGCAAGCTCACAGCTGAATTTCATTAGAACATCCATAATCAACATCTTGGTTCATCAAACCTTGTTCCCTCTAAAAAGATGATTTATGCATATGCTGTTTTAGTGCCACCTTGGCAGCTCTATATTGTTCGAGAACCACATATCTGCCATAAAAAAGAAAATTTTAATTAGCAAAGTTAAAATCCCTCATCTTGTTGGATAATAAAGGTTTGTAGGAAAGACCAAAGACGATGTGAAACAAAAGTAAGAGGATGTCAACTTTGGGTACAAATCAATTGAGAGAGTTGTTTGGGCCAGAAAATCCCTATTCATAAGTCAGAGATAAAAATCCCTTGCACAGTAATATGATTATACAAGTATATTTCAAATTGCCAAATTGTCATGCAAATGAAATGTACCCTTGTTCACTCCTAACTGTTGATGTTAATATAAAAAATACCCAAGCAAAATATTGGCGGCTGAAGAGGAAGACTGGATCTTCACTAGCAAACAATTTCCTTTAGTCATCAATATGCCTTAATTAGCTGAAGAATTTATGTTACAAAGGCCAACTAACCTCACATTGCCTACAACAGAGAATATTATTGTCATGTAAGATTGATGATCCACCATTTAACCAATAGAAAAATGCATTGCCACGGTCCGACCATCCTTAAGTTGATTTGAAATAAAAAATAGCATCTGCTAGCTTCAGCTGGTTAGAACTCTAGCTACGTTGACAGTAACACATTGTCCAGTAATCTTAATTGTTCATATCAGCAATGAAACTGACATAGAACCCAACAGAGTTATAGTAAAAACAAGGCTTTTTAATAAGTTAAATAGCACACAAAGCAGTAAAGTCAACGGTAATAAGCCTCTAACCAAGCAAACTGAAGTCCTAGTTATTGGCATATCAGCATATAGTAATTGAATCTGAACTGGAATATTTTGTTCATCATATTGGTATAAGTTGAAGGATCTACCATTTTTTTTGTTGTTGATAAGTTCAAGGATCTGCCATTGACAGTGTTTCATATATCAACATCCTGCAACTGGAAATTTGAATTCATGTATATATTAAGTGGATAATGTATAGATAAAATCACTCACATGCTAGAGATGATTAGGATGCGAGAACTGTCTGAGTAGATATTACAGCTTCACTGCCTCCAACATGCAAGTATTCTATGGAGAAAGTCAAATTATGTGGGTTTATTGAAATTTGAAGTCATTCACATTGAGCAAATGCTAAAGGATGTAAAATGTCACAGAAAAATTAATAGGAGTCACTGAGAATGATCAATACCTTTGAAGTAGCTTGGTACTTCATATTATTTGCTTATGCCAGTCAATCAAGTATAATTATCCAGTGAAGTTGGTTGTCCTATTCCAGCAATAGCACCGAAGATCATCCCAACTGGCCAAGCGATCATCACTTATCAGGCCTTTGAAGTTACTTTAGACGTTATCAATGAGAGATGTATCTACAATTTCATGCAAAAATCCAGATTAGAAGCAATGATGGTACTCATGAACGTTTCATACAGCTTAAAGCACATTATGCGAAGAAGATAATAAATAAACCAGATGATGTGGAGGCAAGTTTGCTGCAACGTAGAATTTCTCACGTATCACATACTCTTGAAAAAACTCACTGATATGAGCATGTGATTTTGTCTCATGGCAAGTTACTTAAGCGCACAAATTAACTGAAATTCACAGCATTAATTGCCATTTCGAAAGCTGTTCATGTGGGCTATTCTAGAGAATTAACATATTGAGCCTCTTTAACAATTAGTTATGACAAATGCTTGTATGAAGACTTAGAGGAAAATTTTTCACGGATGGGAGTGTGCAAGCTCAAAAAGGCATTATATGAGTCAGAAAGTCTGCTAGAGCATGATTTGAGAAGTTTACTTGGGCTATGCTTAGATGTGGTTACAAACAGAGTCAAGATGACCGTGCCCAATTTATCTAAAAATCACATGAAAACAAGGTTACAGCACTCCTTGCTCCTTGTGTATGTTGATGATATGTGATCTATAAGAAATGCAGAAGTTGAATAGCAATCTTACTAAGGAGTTTGAAACAAAAGACTTTGGTAACTGAAAGTACTTCTTGAGCATTGAAGTTGCAACATCCCAAACAGAATGTTTATCTCACTAAGAAAGTATGTTTTGGACCTTCTCAAGGACAAAATGTGCTTGGGTATAAAACTATTGATACATGTTAGAACAAAATTGCACGTTAGGGGATGAAACTAAAGATTCATTTGACAGGAAGAAATATCAAAGGCTGGTTGGTAAGTTAATTTATCCATCTCGTACTCGCCTAGATATAGGTTATGTTGTTAGTTAGACTTGTGAGCCACTATGCATAATCCTATTGAATTGCATGTCAGTTTACGGTGTACTCCGGTACTTCAAAAGAAAGAGTTCAATTTTTTACAATATTTTCATAACTTTAACGGCAAATATCAGCATGCAGCCATGCAAACTGAGATTCAATTAGCATGGGTTGCCAAATAAAAAATGAGATGTTATTCAAATGAAAAAACACTATGAGATGCATCCATATTTATAATAATTCAGTTAGAAATAGATGATGTTGCACAATGGAAGAAATGCATTACAAATCTACAAGAATACTAAATGCAACTAACACATTGTAAATCAATATAATCGAAAAGCACTATTATGCAAATTTGAAGCATATATTTGAAACAATTAACTAATGAATACAAGTTCAAGAAGAATACATACAAATACAAAACAGAGAACATAAAGTTCAAGAATAGGACATGTATTGTGTACCTGTTATTCCATTCCATGCTTCTTTGCTTATTTCCAATCCCTTCAAAGAGCAAAATGTAATCAATTTCAGTACCATATTATAGCAGTTCCACATAGTTGACATTAATGATTATATGAAATCAACAATTAGTATTTTAGTTAAAAAAATAAGGAATATTACACCATTCAATATATATATTTGTATGTGAAAACATATCAGAGTCATATCCATAAACAGGTCAAGAAACCATCTGTTAGGTCCCTATGTTGTCAAATCCGGAGACAAAACATTGTGTTGATTCAAATGTAATTTTTTGTGTTTTTGTTCTGTACGCTCGAGTGGAGACTTGTGAGCTCGAGCGTAGATTAGCAGGTCTCAGTAGTTTGTCAGGGCAAGCAACAAATACTGGTGGGTGTGATTTTCCGCTCGAGCGGATTCTCCTACGCTCGAGCGCATCTCAGTTTGTTTCGCACGCAGTTTTTGGTCAGTCCGCTCGAGCGGGCTGTGTTGAGCTCGAGCGGAGATCGCGGATCCAGATTCCTATTTAAAGCTGATAAGGGTGTTTTTGTGTAGTAGGGTTTCCTAGATCTGATCTAAACGAACTAGGGTTGTGTTTAAAGTTTTCTTTGGAGATTTTTCATAGTTTTCCTTGATGTTCTTGAGAGAGTTCTGAACTTATGCATTGAGATTCATACATCAAGGAGGTTGCTTCTTAAGTTTCAAGTAAGTTCTCTTCGGTGGATTCCGAAGATTAAAGCGTAGAATCCAAAAGGCGTTTGATTCTACGCAGTCGTTAATTCGACAAGTGAAGTTGTGGTGTGGAATTAGACTTGTTAGGAGGCATTAGCGTAATTGACTGGCAGACAAAAGGGTCTGAAGACAGAGCCAAAGTGTAACTAGGTTTAGGGATATTACCAAGAATTTGGTATCGGTTGACTGGATCAATTGGAGGTGCAACAATGGGTTGAGTGGATAGCACAATGGCAAGAGGTTTTGTAGTAGGTTTGTGACTTGACATTTGTAAGAAAAATGACAGAAGTAGATTAGCATCCACCGAGGACATCTAATCTATCCATATGAAAGTTAACTAGATTAGTGTAATGTTCCCCCTCCGGATCTTCCTATTCTGTTTCAGCAGTTCGCGGAGGCCATGATCAGACGCTTGGATTTTTTGGATGCTCGCTTCGATGCCTTTGATGGTCGTCTTGGTCAGCTGGAGCAGACTGCCGCTCACACTACTTCGCAGCTGGACCACATCATTTCCTTACTGACGCTTCAGCCGGCCCCTCCTCCACCTGGTGCTTGATTTCTTGCTTTCTTCATTCCCGGTCAAAAAGGGGGAGTGATGTGTGGGTACAGTTGATCTTTGATCTTTTGATTACACAGTTTTTGATTACATCAGTTTTTTATTACATGTTTTTGGTATATAGTTTTTTTTCTTACTGGTTATATTTTGGATATATGTTTATAGATGGATGGATATATGTTTATGGATGGATGGATACTGGTTTGCTTATGATTGGCCTAATGGTTATTTAATCCAGTTCCACCTGTTTTTGGTTGGCTTGTGTTTGGGTGTTCTTTTTCAGGCTCATGGAACACGCGCCTAAGTGGATGAAGTTGAATGAATGAAGTCTTTCTCTAGTTGTGTGTTTTCGGGTTTTAAAAGGATGTTTTGTTTATTTGTTTTGAAACTTTTATAGTGCATGTGTGTAAGGAACAATGGTTAGAAAGGTTTTGTCCGGGAATTGACAAAGGGGGAGATTGTTAGGTCCCTATGTTGTCAAATCCGGAGACAAAACATTGTGTTGATTCAAATGTAATTTTTTGTGTTTTTGTTCTGTACGCTCGAGCGGAGACTTGTGAGCTCGAGCGTAGATTAGCAGGTCTCAGTAGTTTGTCAGGGCAAGCAACAAATACTGGTGGGTGTGATTTTCCGCTCGAGCGGATTATCCTACGCTCGAGCGCATCTCAGTTTGTTTCGCACGCAGTTTTTGGTCAGTCCGCTCGAGCGGGCTGTGTTGAGCTCGAGCGGAGATCGCGGATCCAGATTCCTATTTAAAGCTGATAAGGGTGTTTTTGTGTAGAAGGTTTTCCTAGATATGATCTAAACGAACTAGGGTTGTGTTTAAAGTTTTCTTTGGAGATTTTTCATTGTTTTCCTTGATGTTCTTGAGAGAGTTCTGAACTTATGCATTGAGATTCATACATCAAGGAGGTTGCTTCTTAAGTTACAAGAAAGTTCTCTTCGGTGGATTCCGAAGATTAAAGCGTAGAATTCAAAAGGCGTTTGATTCTACGCAGTCGTTAATTCGACAAGTGGAGTTGTGGTGTGGAATCAACTTCAGGATCAATTGCGTGACGAAGGTGTGGTGAAAAGAGTTACAGAAGATTCAGAGACAAATTGATTGGGTTGGGTAATTTGTATTGTATCTTTGTAATCTTTTTGTTCTTCAGTAGTGGATTGATAGTGGCGTTTCGCCTGTGGTTTTTTATTACAATTGAAGGTTCTTCAATTGTGGTTTTTTCCACGTAAAAAATCGTTTGTGTCGATTTATTGTTTATTCTCAAAAAAACAAACAAACTAAAATCACTCTCGTAAGTGTTTGATGATTTTAGGTTGAGAGTTTTGAATTAATTGGGTTTTGGAATAAGTTTATCTTGATCTAATCACAAATCACGTAGGATTTTCACCATCAACTAGCAATTCTCACTTAGGAAAGGGAAAAGAAATCCGACAACAAGTTGATAATGCTAGTGCATTTTATTGAACTTGTAATTTTCTAAGAGTCATGACATTTTAGACAGTGAAAAGTTAAACCACTATAACAACAATACAAGGATCCATCATCAAACAATTTGTCAACAGACATTTCAACAACATTTCATGTTTGAACATAAGAAACATTTTTAAAATGTTTGCGCACAAATAAAGGCATTTGTACCACACAAAAAAAGAAAAAAAAGAAAAGTGACCAACATGTCAGACATAGTCCAACTGCAGCAACATAGTTTGTTACCAACCTTAGATGACAAAAAAGTGCATTAATGCCCATCATCCTCACTGCATAAATATATTTTAATAAGAAATTTAAGGTTCTATTGTTTTAATGTGGTATTGTTTTTGTATTCTAGAAGAAGTCTTAGCAGAAACTTCATTGTTTTGGGGGGGCTTTTTGTTAATACTTACAAATTGTGATTCCATTATCATGTTCATGTAAAATACCAAATATATAGTCAAAGATTACATAGGAAGAAGAAGGAGCTGACCTTAAATAACAGATTCTCACATCATTTTGAAAAGTGGTGGCAACATGTGCCACTTGTTCCTTGAATTTTTCCTCTTTTATTCTGGGTTTTTTTTTCTTTTATTGTTATGATAGAATTCATTTGTTGAATATGTCCCATCGATAAACCAAGCCAAATCAAAGCGAAGCCTTATATTCCATTCAATTGTGGTCGGGTACATGAATAATTTTTCACCATTATGCTCTATCGATGATTATATGCTGAGTTAAATAAGTAAATTCATATGAATCACATAATATGTCAGACACACTCTTCCACGTGAACCAATATACTTTTATTCTATGGATCACAACACCACCAACCTCATCATCCTCATTAATAATCCAACCTAAGTAACGAAAATGTTCACTATTTGTTTCCCATCACTAAATTGCATTAATAACATCATTTTTTGGATCAAATAATACACAGTTCTTGTGAACAGTCAATGCAATCTCTTAGTTTCCACAAATTATCATACAATGAGTTGAAAAGGAAAAGTGAACAATTGAATTTGAGATCCCAAATCCTATCCATGCAAGTTTTAAGTACTACTAGTCCCTTATTAATAGTGGCCACACACACACATACATCTATATATATATATATGGTATCTATAGGAGCTAATAATAATTAATTTCCATAAAAAGCAACCCGACAGACAGTGACAATCGTCTGCTAGGATTCAGCAATTGCAGACGAAAATTGCTAGCACTGTAAGAGCATATACGATCCAGGAAATGAGCTTGAGGCAGAGCGGGAAAGAGACTGTGATGGCAACAAAGAAAGCGGTAACTCCACAGACTACTCCAGCGTGGTCAAGCAGGCGGCCTAGGTTCGGGTGCTTAGAAGAAACGTATTTGGCAACAAAGATAAAAGCAAACGCAAACACCATTACCAGACACACCAAGTGGAATGTTATAGAGTAGTATTGTGTAGGAGTTTGGTTCGATCGGATGGCGATTTCAAAAGCGGCTGTCAAGCAGAACTCTAAGACTAGCACCGGCAATTCAGGAGAAACTTCAACTACTAATTCGGGCGGCGGCGGAGCCATAACTGGAGGAGGGAGTTCAACAACTGATTCTAATGTTGTCACAATTTGCAAACTGTAGCGCTTTACCTTTATATAGTAGTCAGTCGGAAGGAAGATCCAAAAAAAAATACACACCGAAAGATAGGATACCCCGCAACCCCAACAAACACATATCTGATAGGATGAAAAAAAAGGTTGAAGGGGACGGAAAAACAAAAAAAAAAACGTTGGATGCCATATGCAATCAACATAAAAGGTATAAGTGGAAGATGTAAACATAAAAGTCCAAAACAAAAAGCAAAAAATTAGTCAATTTGAATATATTGGGGATGAAGGGGACGGAAAAAAAAAAACCAAAAATCAAAAAATTAGTCAATTTGAATATGAAAAATGATTTAAACCTCTAAAAAAAAACACTTTTAATGGAGTTTTAATTTGTTTTTTTCTTTCCCATTTTTTATCTTTTACTTTACTATTTTTTTTTTTTTTCTGAACAGTTCATTAGAACTGTACAATAGAAGTTCTAATTAGAGCCCTACATCAGCTTCCATTTGAATATATTGGGGATGATGCACGTCAAAGATAAAAGGGATATCAACCTTTTTTTTACAACGAAATTGCATGCCGCTGTTGCTCCACGGTCTACACCTACTCACCAACATTATGACAAGTGTCCAATTTTGTTTGTCATAGATTAGTTAACCTCAATATTACATCTGTTAATTTATTTTTTCCTTTTTATTTTTAATTAATATTTATTTATGATGTTAAATTACAATGAAATAATTAAATTATAATTTCACTATTCACCAACA